CGCCTCGCCCCTCTGCTCCCACGGACCCTCAGCCGTGTCCCCTCTCCTAGCACCGGCTGTCCCTGCAGTCTCGCTTGAGCCGCCTCCAACTGTGTGAACAGCGTGGTGTCCTCCACCTTCACCGCGAAGCCCGCCTCGACCGCGAAGTCTCGAAGCATGAACTTCACCATGTCGTGGATGGTAGTGGCGACGCCGAAACGTGGGCACCGAACCGCGTGATGAGGAACAGTCATGTCGTCGATCGCCTGTCCACAGGAGCACTGACCTGCAAGGGCTAACTGGGGGATCGGGAGACCAAGACGGGATGAGGAAGCCACGTGCCACTGCGCCTCCGGGATGCGCAATGGATCGGCGTACGGCAACCGACGTCAACCACGCTCCTGCACCTCCGCCCTGAAGGGAAGTCAAACGGGCAAGGTGCAAGGGAGAGGTGTGACGGGCACGCACGGCCTCCTAAGCATGCGCCTACAGAAGGCGGCTCACTTCTGCAAAAAGGGAATCAGGGGAGGCAGAAGCGCAAGAGGGCCAAGAGGGAAGGGAGAGAGAACGTCAGGTGGGAGACCCTCTAGCGCCGTCTGTAGAGCCCAGTTGATCTGCTCTGGCTCACCTGAAGCAAAGCTCTGCCGAAACACCTCGCCACACGCAGGGAGAGAACAGAGATGGTGCCACACTGCACCCAGGAGCCCAAAACTCACCGGGGCAATGCGCGCCATGCGACGAATGCCGAAACCCCCGAGACAAATGGGGAGGAAGATCTGGTCTAGGACGGCCTCTCGGACGTCCTCGCGACAAGCCCAGGTCCCTGAGGCTAAAAGCTGCTGAAAAGTCTCTCCCAGGCGTGCATCCCATCGTGTAAACTGGAGATCCTCACTGCGGGCGAGAGATGGACGGTCCTCGACAGGTACTGCGGACGAGTGCTGACACATGCCGAGAGAAGGCGAGCAGACTGTCGGGGCTGGCGCAACCTCGGGAGCCAAGGTAGCACCCTCCCCACCCTCTCGAGACGATCCGGGAGACTTTGCTCCACAAACGAAACGGTGCCCACCGGTACGCCTGTCACGGTGAGCCCTCGGCGTGCGACCTCGATCCCTAGGCTCGTGAAAGCCTCCAAATCCCTGGAAAGAAAAGAATCCGTCTGGTAGACGAGGCACTTGTGCGACTGGACCGCAAGGCCAATCTCGCCCAAGCGCCTCACGATCTCGGTGAAGGGTGTAGCACCCTGTCTGGGGGGCCTAGCACGTATGTGTCATCGGCGTACGACCAGAGCTGGACACCCCCCCTCCGTCAGAACTGGCTCCAAGGCAAGGCGCTGTGTCAGAGCGTACAAGAAGGGACTGAGGGGTCTCCGTGCCGAGTGTCACGCTCCGAGTGCATCGTGACCACTCCCGTACCTGACCTGTAGTGGAGGTCCGAGGGCGTCCCGTAGAAGAGGCCGATGAAGGGGATCAGACACTGGAACTCCAGACTGGCCTGCAGAGCCTGGAAGACCCTGTCTCGGTGGAAAGAGTTAAAGGCATTCGCCACGTCTAGCTCCAGGACCACCCAGTCTGGGGGTCAGCCAGAGCGCGGCGGACGCCTCTAACTACGACTCTGTCCCGCACTAACCCCCACCCAAAACTGCTGTGATGCCAAGAAGACCCTTGCCATCTGGTCACGTAGCTGGAGACAGACTGCACGCGAAAGAATGCGGACCAAAACCTCGCCAATGGCAATCGGCCGAACATCCATGTTCGACTCGCCAGAGCCATGAGGGTTGAGGATGCTAGCAAGGAGCGCGCAGCTGGAGCGCAACGACCTCGAAGCCACTGCTGGTACACAGCCAAGAGAAAATGGAGACTCTGAGGGAAAGCTAGGAAAGTGTCTCGAAGGTGCTCGGCGACCCAACCGGACGGTCCTCCCGAAGAGCCCCGCGGAGCTGTGAAAATCGCGCGACGTAAGTGATCCATCGAGAGCACGAGAGCAGACCCCTGGAAGCCCGACAGCCAAGCTGGGGTCGGCCTCTCCGCGTTGGGGTGCTTCGACTGCAGGCGCTGTATCGTCCCCTGTGTATCTGGGGCTGCCTCCGTGGACTCGAGAGCCACGCATGCCCGTGAGGTCTCATTGCACGCCACCAAGCAAAGGCAACGTGCAATGCGCGCTCATCTGCTGTAGAGGAATCGGTGGCGGTGTGTGATCGGAGACCTGTGCGCTGAGGTAGGGGTGTGCGACGACCTAGTGCATCTGAGAGTAGCTCAGCCCACTCACCTCGACCAAAGCGGGAGATGCGTGTGGCAATGGCGGTCGTGTGCGAGCGGTCGGGTGGCGTCGCCGGAGCGAGAAAAGGGTCGCGCTGCGCGAGAAGGAAGGTAGGGCCAGCAGCCTCCGGGTCCTGGGCAATGCAGGCTAAGATCGCACTGAGAACGTCGAGATATCCTCCGCAGACCCTCTCCGGGATACGCCGGAGAGGGCGTGCATGAATACGCTCGGGCGAGAAGTACTCTGTCCAGTCCACCGAGTCGAGCGTCTGCCACTGTGCGTCTGTGAACTGTATCCCGGTCGCTCGGGGCTGTGAGAGAGAAGGGAGAATCGAGGTGGTGTCATGGACGGCCTGTGCCCGGCGAGCTGCATCCGCTGGGTGGCAGAAGGGTGTGTGGTGCCTGGGTGCTCGGGTGCTTGCCAGGGTGCTCTGGCAGGTAGTGCATGTGATGGGCTGGTCCGGTGACGTGGCCGTATCGGCGGGTCGGGTGGGGTGGTGCCATCGGCCATCGGAGCTAGCCGTGGAAGGGAGTCGTCAACCGGAGGGACCTGTGGGGGGGGCGTCCACGGTGGGAGTAGAAACGGGTGCACCACGACTGTGGGAGCCTTCACAAGTGGGGCTGGTGCACTGGTAAAAGAGGAGGGTTCAGTGACGGGGCCGGGCCTCGTGGCGGTACCAGCCCAGGGGCCCTGGAGGAGGGATGTAGAGGTGGGTGACGGAGGGGCATCTGTAGGGGCGGGTGACTCATACCTGGTGCTGGTGCCCTCCTGCGCCACTGGAAGTGTGTCAGCAACATGCTGAATGGGGGAAGGCGCCACTACATCTGGGTGCGAGTGACACGACCATCAGAACCAGGTCCGTCTCCATCGGGGATGGGAGTGACGAGCCTGGCTGAGAAGTGGGGGGGTGAAAGAAGCGACCGGGCGAGTGACCTCCGCATATGTCCGTCTCTGGACCTCTGGGACTGGTAGGGTGGGGGCAGCTGGGGTGCTGCTAGGGCTCTGTATCGCTAGCAGGTCCGAAATGGCAGCCCTCACCTCCTGTGGGGTCCCCCAGCAACATGCCTGCCTGCTAATGAAGGAAGAGGGGTGGCAGGGCAGAGGGTGGGGTGGGGCGTGCTGGCTGAGCGGAGCCCGGGTGTGGTCCTTGCGCTAGAGAGCCCCCTCGGCCCTCCTCGGTGACCATGGGTTGCGGTAGGGGCCGTCGACTCGAATGGGGTGGGAGGTATGCGAAGAAGAGTCGGTGGAGTCACTCATGGGCTCGTCCCTCATCTCCTCGGACCCCATACCGGCAGCGTACGCCGTTGCCGCCACCTGGGCCGGGTTCAGAGGAAGGGAGAGGTGGCCTAAGAGTGAGTGGGCGGATTCATTCCCGTGGCCTATGGAGGGGCAAACACGGGAGGGGAGTGTGAGTTAGGTTGTTGGCCTGCCGGTGTGGGACTTGGTGTAGTTTGAGGGGGATGTGAAGAAGGGGGGGGGGCGCCTGTAGGGGTGGAGAGAGGGGGGAGTAGGTGAGCTGGCCCTTTGCCTCCTTTGCCTTTGTTTCTTCCGCCGCCGCCGGCTTGGTTTTCGTTGTCCCTGCCCGGGTGTGAAGGAAGAGGGGACTGAGGAGCCAAGGGGGTGGGTGGGGGGAGCATGGGTGGTTGGTGAGGGGGGGGAGCTCCGTGTGTAACCCTCCCCTCCTCATGGCCCCGCCATGCTCGGCGGGCTGCACGAAGGGACCGATGGCTGCCCATCGGGGCCATTCGTGAGGAACCGGGCCGTGCGCGGGGGTTGTGGGGGGGGGCCGAGGCGCTAGAGCGGCCTGGAGGTAAGAGCGAGGTGCGAGCTGAGGGGGGAGGGAGGGTCAAAAGAGGCGGCAAGGGAGCGGGCACGCGGAGGGTAGGGGCGGGGGGAGCGGATGGCATGAGGGGGCAGGGGGTGTGACTATGAAGGGGGGACCCGGGCAAGGGGTGTGTACCGGTCGGGGATCGGGATTGACGTTGTACGATCATACCTCGGCTACTACGCCGGATCCCATCAGAACTCCGAAGCTAAGCACTGGTGGGCGAGAGCAGTACTGGGCGGGTGACCTCCAGGGAAGTCCTCGTGTTGTACCCATTGATGCCCCTTGCTCGGCACGTGCCAGGGGAGGGGCAAGCAGGAAAAAGAAAGGACGATTTTAGCGCGTCCGATTTTTTTATTTTCGTTTTTTTGCCCAAACAACGACTCAGCGGGGTGGGGGCCCCCCGGGGAGGCTTGCCCGTGCGAAGAAACGCCCCGTGCGCACCACCGTTGGGCGGTTGGAAGCCGCACACGGTCGCGGGGGGGAGAGCGGAAACGGGCAGCCGGGGAGGGTGGGGGCGGTTGGATGGGACTGGGTGTACGGGGGGCAGGGGAGTTGAGGGGGCAAGGGGAGGGGCAGCAACGGGCAGGGCTGGGCCAGCTGAGGGCACGGAAAAGGGGCGGCAGAGGGTGAGCAGAGGGGCGAGCGATGCAAGGGAGGCACCATAGGGGGGAAACAGTTGCACGGAGGTGGGAGGTGAGGGACGTAAAAGGGGGTGGGAAGGGGCAGGGAGGGACAGAATGGGAGGATGTGGGTGGGGGGTGGGGGAGGGGAGTGTGCGTGTGTGTGTGAGAAAAGAGAGAGAGAGAGAGAGAGAGAGAGAGAGAGAGGGAAAGGGGGGGGGGGAGACAAGGGTGGGAGGGGGCTGCTGGTGCGGATGGGCTGATGGTGGCAGAGGGCAACAGGGATGGGAAGAAGGGAGCGTAACGAGGGGAAAGCAAAGGCAGGGGGGGAGGAGGGGAGGGCAGGGAGGGAAGAGGCTGAACGTACAAAGGGGGGAAACGAGGGGCATGGATGGTAGGAAACAAGGCAGGGGTGCGGGAAATCAAGGGCAGGGAGGGGAGAAGCAATGGGTGAGGGGAAAACAAGGGAGGGGCAGAGGGGGGCAGGGAGGGAAGAAACGTGGGGCAGGGAGGGGAGAAGCCAAAGACGGGGCATGGGCAGGCGGGGGCAGGAGGGAGCAAAGGAGAGGCACGGAGAAAGAAAGGGAGGCGCGGGGAGGGGAGAAACCGGGCGTGGGGGGCGGAAAATGAGGGGCAGGGCGGGGAGGAGGGAGGGGCAGGGAGGGAGAAGCTGAGCACACGGAGGGGGGAAAGGTGGGGCAGGGAGGTAGGAAGCCAAGGGCAAGGGGGGAGAGTGGGGGGCAGGGAGAGGGGGGAGGTGGGGAGCGGAGAAAGGCGGCGAGGGGCAGGGAGGGGAGAAACCAAGCATAGGGGGGCGAGATACGAGGGGCAGGGTGCGGATTGAGGAGGGGCAGGGAGTGGAGTGGGTCGGCGAGGGGAAGGAAGAGGCGTGCAGCAGAGGAGGGGAGGGGGGAGGAGAAGGTAAACGAGGGGAGCGCACGGGCGGGGAGGAGCGAATGGCGGGCGGTGGGAAACGGCGAGGGGGGCAGGGAGGGTCAAAAGAGGCGGCAAGGGAGCGGGCACGCGGAGGGTGGGGGCGGGGGGAGCGGATGGCATGAGGGGGCAGGGGGTGTGACTATGAAGGGGGGACCCGGGCAAGGGGTGTGTACCGGTCGGGCACAGGATTGACGTGGTACGATCATACCTCGGCTACTACGCCGGATCCCATCAGAACTCCGAAGCTAAGCGCCGGTGGGCGAGAGCAGTTATTTATTAATAGGGGAAGAGCAAATACAAGCCGAATATGGTGGGTTTTCAAAGAATAGGCAATTTCGGCATGACTCATTCGCTATGAGGACGGTATATATATTTTGTAGGAAAGAGGGGAAAGAAAGAAGAAGAAGAAAAGATCAAGGAGTAAGAAGAGGTAGTAGGGAAAAGAAGAGAGGGGAAGGAAGAGAAGAGAAGGATAGAAGAAGGGGAAAGGAAAAGGGAGGTGGGAAGAGAAGAGGAGATAGGGAGAGGACTGAGGAGGAAGCACCAAGCACCAGGGACCAAACACAGCAGCAACCTGCCCAACAGCGCAGGCACAGCGTTTCAAGCACAGCCACTATTGTTTTTTACACATATGCATCATATATATATTGCATGTCAGCCACACTCTCGAAGCACCCTGTGACGTGGTGCCAAGTACCCTGCCCCGCACTCAGTGGGACTGGTGCGGGCATCCACCCGTCGTCGGATCCCCCAACTGCCGCACCGCATGCTGGATGATGCATTGAGCCTGCGCGCGCTGCAGTGCCACGGAGAGGCGTGTAGTGAGTCCTGCCTCAAATATCCGTGCTGATCCGTCATCCCCCCCCACCCCTATCCCTCCTCCGCTGTGCTATCCTCTTTGCGCAGAGCCCCAAAACTAACGCAGCGGCTCGCTCAGAAGGCCAAAAGTCTCCGCCACGCACGCGTAAAAGTGTGGTGCCGGCTGCAAACCCTCTAAGTGCGGCCCCCAGTGACGCAGCTTCTCCTGCACCCGCCTAGCTGCTGCCACTCCAATCTGTGTGGGGGGTCGCCCGTCTCAGCTGGACGTTCCCCTCCCGCTGTGGATCCGCTATGGAGACATCCACAAGAACCATCAAACTCTGCCCAACTTCGCGGCAGGTGAGGTCTGGGATGCGGGAGGAGGTGCCTACCCGGCCTGTGCGTCCGACTGGTCCCTGCTGCTGCGCTGGCTGCTGCCCTGTCTGGTCCCTCGGTGCCTCCTCTCCGGTCGTCTCTCTCCCCCTCTCCTCTCCTCCACCCACCTGTCCTCTCCTCTCCCCCTCTCTACCCTCCTCCAACCCTCCCAACCCCCCTGCTCGATCCCCTGCTGCCTCTCCCACTCCCTGGTCCTCCCCTCCCGATCCCGCTCCCCCCACACTGTACCTCCGTTCGCTCTCTGCTGCTCTCGCCCCTGCCCCACCCCCGAGCCCACACCCGGAGGTGCGACGCCCTGGGCCCGCGGCCCCCGCTGGCTCTCCTGCTGCTGCCCCTGCTGTCCCCCTTCCACGTCCTGGCCCGTCTGCTCCCCCTGCCCTCCCCTCTGCCCGCCTGCCCCTCGCGCCACCCGACCCCCCGCAGCTGATGCTGTCCCGACTGCCTCCCGCTGCCCGGCTGTCCCGCCTCGCCCCTCTTCTCCAGCGGTCCCTCAACCCGTGTCTCCTCCCCCACCACCGGCTGTCCCTGCAGTCTCGCCCCGAGCCGCCTCCAACTGTGTAAACAGCGTGGTGTCCTCCACCTTCACCGCGAAGCCCGCCTCGACCGCGAAATCTCGAAGCATGTACTTCACCGTGTCGTGGATGGTCGTGGCGACGCCGAAACGTGGGCACCGAACCGCGTGATGAGGCACCGTCATGTCGTCGATCGCCTGTCCACAGGAGCACTGACTGCAAGGGCTAGCTGGGGGATAGGGAGACCAAGACGAGATGATGACGCCACCTGCCACAGCGCCTCCGGGATGCGCAGTGGATCGGCGTCCGGCACCGACGTCAACCACGCTCCTGCACCTCCGCCCTGAAGGAAGTCAAACGGGCAGGTGCAAGGGAGAGGTGTGACGGGCACGCACGGCCTTCCAAGGCATGCGCCTACCAGAAGGCGGCTCGCTCCTGCAACAAAGGGAATCAGGGGGCAGGACAGAAGCGCAAGAGGGCCAGGAGGGAAGGAGAGGGAGAACGTCAGGTGGGAGACCCTCTAGCGCCGTCTGCAGAGCCCGGTCGATCTGCTCTGGCTCACCAGAAGCGAAGCTCTGCCGAAACACCTCGCCACACGCAGGGAGAGAATAGAGAATGGGTGCACACTGCACCCAAGAGCACACGAAACTCACCGGGGCAATGCGCGCCATGCGCCGAATGCCGAAACCCCCGAGACGGATGGGGGAGGAAGATCTGGTCTAGGGCGGCCTCTCGGACGTCCTCACGACAAGCCCAGGTCCCTGACGCTAAAAGCTGCTGAAAAGTCTCTCACAGGCGTGCGTCCCACCGTGTAAAAACTGGAGATCACTGCGGGCGAGGGAGGGACGGTCCTCGACAGGTACTGCGGGCGAGTGCTGACACATGCCGAAAGAAGGCGAGCAGCTGTCTGGGGCTGGCGCAACCTCGGAAGCCAAGGTAGCACCCGCCCCATCCTCTCGAGACGATCTGGGAGACTCTGCTCCACGAACGAAACGGTGCCCACCGGTACGCCTGTCACGGTGAGCCCTCGGCGTGCGACCTCGATCCCTAGGCCCGTGAAAGCCCCCAAATCCCTGGACAGGAAGGACTCTGTCTGGTAGACGAGGCACTTGTGCGATTGGACCGCAAGGCCCATCTCGCCCAAGCGCCTCACGATCTCGGCGAAGTGGTGTAGCACCCTGTCTGGAGGACCTAGCACGTACGTGTCATCTGCGTACGACCAGAGCTGGACATCCCCCCTCCGACAGAACCGGCTCCAAGGCAAGGCGCTGTGTCAGAGCGTACAAGAAGGGGCTGAGGGGGTCTCCCTCGCGAGTGCCACGCTCCGAGTGCATCGTGACCACCTCCCGTACCTGACCTGTAGTGGAGATCTGAGGGCGTCCCGTAGAAGAGGCCGATGAAGGGGATCAGACACTGAAACTCCGGACTGGCCTGCAGCGCCTGAAACATCCTGTCTCGGTGAAAAGAGTTAAAAGCATTCGCCACGTCTAGCTGCAGGACCACCCAGTCTGGGTGGTCAGCCAGAGCACGGCGGACGCCTCTAACTACGACCTCTGTCCCGCACGTCACCCCCACCCCAAACTACTGTGACGCAAGGAAGACTCTCGCCATCTGGTCCCGGAGCTGGAGACAGACTGCTCGTGAAAGAATGCGGACCAACACCTCGCCGATGGCAATCGGCCGAACATCCATGTTCGACTTCGCCAAAGCCACGAGGGTGGAGGACGCTAGCAGGGAGCGTGCAGATGGCGCGCAACGGCCTCGGAGCCACTGCTGGTACACAGCCAGGAGGAAATGGAGACTCTGAGGGAAAGCCAAGAAAGTGTCTCGAAGATGCTCAGCAACCCAACCGGACGGTCCTCCGGAAGAGCCACGCGGTGCTGTGAAGATCGCGCGTCGTAAGTGATCCACCGAGAGCACAAGAGCAGACCCCTGGAAGCCAGACAGCCAAGCTGGGGTCGGCCTCTCCGTGTTGGGGTGCTTCGACCGCAGGCGCTGTATCGTCCCTTGTGTATCTGGGGCTGCCTCCGCGGACTCAAGAGCCGCACAGGCCCGAGAGGTCTCATTGCACGCCGCCAGACGAAGGCAACGTGCAATGCGGCGCTCATCTGCTGTGGAGGGATCGGTGGCGGTGCGTGACCGGTGACCTGTGCGTCGAGGGAGGGGTGTTGCGGCGGCCTAGTGCATCTGAGAGTAGCTCATCCCCTCACCTCGACCAAAGCGGGAGATGCGCGTTGCAATGGCAGCCGTGTGCGAGCGGTCGGGTGGCGTCGCTGGAGCGAGGAAAAGGGTCGGCGCCACAGCGAGGAGGAAGGTAGGGCCAGCAGCCTCCGGGTTCTGGCAATGCGGACTAGGATCGCACTGAGAACGTCGAGATATCCTCCGGGGACCCTCTCCGGGACACGCCGGAGGGAGGGCGTGCATGGATACGCTCGGACGAGAAGTACTCTGTCCAGTCCACCGAGTCGAGCGTCTGCCACTGTGCGTCAGTGAACTGTATCCCAGTCGCACGGGGCTGTGAGAGGGAAGGGAGGATCGAGGTGGCGTCATGGACGGCCTGTGCCCTGCGAGCTGCGTCCGCCGGATGGCAGAAGGGAGTGTGGTGCTGGAGCGCGCGTCGGTTCGCGAGAGAGCTCCTGCAGGTGGGGCAACTCACGACCTGGTCGGGTGATGTCGCCGTGTCGGCGGGGTCAATCGGGGCCGTGGCGTCGGAACTGGCTGTAGAGGGGGCCCCATGGGCGGCCTGAGCTCCAAGAGGATCGCCTGGGATGAGGGGAGGAGACGACTCACCTGCCCCGCGCAGGGGGGGTGTCGGAGAAGATAGAGGAGGTGCCACACAGGATGGGGCCGGGCCTCCTGCTGGTACCGGTCTCGAAGCTAAGGAGGGGGGATGTGGAGGTGAGCCTGAAGTGTGTGCCGTGGTGTGCCCCTGCCCCTCGGCGGGGTGCGGTCCAAGTGGCGGCTCTGCAGGGGTCTCGGCAGGGGCGGGCGCCTCATCCCTAATGCTGGTGACCTCCTGCGCCCCGGGCTGAACGGGGGGAGGCGCCACCCCGTCTAGGTGCGAGTGACCCGGCCTCAGAACCAGGTCCGTCTCCATTGGGGACGGGAGTGACGCGCCTGGCTCAGTAGCGGAGGGGATAAAAGAAGGGACAGAACGTGTGACCTCCGCATACGTCCGGATCCGGACCTGTGGGGCTGGTAGGGTGGGGGCAGCCGGGGAGCTGCTCGGGTGCTGTATCGCCAGCAGATCTGAGATGCCAGCCCTCACCTCCTCTGGGGTCCTGATAACCTGCCTGTCTGTAGGTGAGAGTAGGAGGGCTGGCAGGGTAGAGGGTGGGGTGGGGCGTACTGGCTGAGCAGAGCTCGGGTGTGGACCCTGCCCTAGAAGGCCCCCTTGGCCCTCCCCAATCACCATGGGTTGCGGTAGGGGGTCGTCGACATGGAAGGGGTGGGAGGGATGGGAGGGGGAGTCGGTGGCGTCTGCCATGGGCGCATCCCTCAACCCGTCGGCCACCATCCCGGCAGGGCTCGCGGCCGCCGCCACCACCTGGGGGGGGGGTAGAGCAAGGGAGAGGCGGCCCGGGGGTGAGTGGGCTGGTCCGCTCCCATGGCCCTGTGGAGGTGCAGGTGCGGGACGGGAGTGTAAGTTTGGTGGTCGGCCTGTAGGGGTAGGGCCTGGTAAGGGTTCAGCGGGATGTGGGGTGGGGAGGGGCTCCTGGTGGGGGAGGGAGGGAGGGGGGAGTACGGGGGCTGACCCTCTGCCTCCTCTGCCCTTGTTCTTCCGCCGGCGGCCAACCTGGTTGTCCGTGCCTATTTGTGGAGGAAGGGGGGGCTGTGGGGCCAAAGGGGTGGGTGGGGGGAGGATGGGTGGTTCGCCAGGCGGGGGGTGCTCTGTGTGCATCCCCTCTCTCCTCGAAATATCACCCTCCGTGGGAACAGATCGGGTGGGCTGTGCGTGGGGGATGATGGCTGCCCAACGTGGCCACTCGTGGGGAACCCGGCCGGGAGAGGGGGTTGGAGGGGGTGGTCGAGGCGTTGGGCCAGTGTGGAGGTTAGAGCGAGGTACAAGCGGTGGGGGGAGAGAGGTTTTGTGTGGGCTCTGTGGTGGCCTCTTCTGTGGGCCCCTCCACCAGGGTGCCGTTGCTTCCATGAGCCTGGGGCACAAGCCCTTGCGGGTGGGTCTCGGCTGCCTGGGGGGGGTGGTGTGAGGAGGGCAGCCCGTTGGGTGAGCGTGTTGGGGCTGTGCGGCAACTCGGGTGGTTGGGGTGCATGTAGCGTGTGGGAGAGAGATTTGACCGCGCAGATGCTTCAACCTCCGAGATGTGTCTACTACCGGGTGGGGGAGGGCCTGGTGGAGGGGGGGGTAGTGGGCCGGAAGGGGGTGGCTGGGTGTTGGTAGGAGTCGGGGAGCATGGCTCCTCTAGGAAGGCCAGAGCCCTGGCTGCTCCACGTGGTGCTCGGGGGAGCCCCTGAGGGTGGGGGCAGAGGTTTGCTGCCCTTGGGGGGGAAGGAAGGAGTGAAGGGAGGGGCAGGGAGGGGTGAGAGGTGAGAGAAGGGGTGCCCTCGGGTGGCTCTGCCCTTGTCGCACCCGCGCGCTCTCCCGGTGGACCGCCTGTAACCGTGGGGTCAGCCGTTGGGGACAGAGAGGGGGGCTGGCCATGGAACAGCGTGGGGGTCGGGGAGCACGGCTCCGCCAAGAAGGCCAGGGCCTTGGCTGCCCCCCTGGATGCTACAGGGACCTGAGGGTGGGGGTGGGGAAGTGGTGCTCCCGGGGGGTGGTGGGCTGGGGGACGGGGGGTAAGGATGGGGTCTCCCTCGCGAGGTTCTGTCCGCAAAGTCTCCTCCCGCCCCTCCATCGGTCCATCTGCTAGCATGGGGTCGGGCCTGGGGGGGAGAGGGGGAACCTCGGCCTGAGGCAGCAGGGGGGCCGAGTCAGCCTCACCGTCAAGCGTGAGGTATTGGGCCAGTGGCCCGTCGATGTGCATCACGTCCTCTACCTCATCCTCCTCTATCACTATCACATCCCCCCCTTCAGTGGTCCCTCCGGTTGGGACCTCGCTCGCCTCTCCTCCCCCTGTTGCCCCTATGTCCCCCGAGCCCACCCCACCTGCTGCCGCTTTACTGCTAGCCCCTTCTGCAGTCTCTGCCGGCCCTGCTGTGTGCTTCACCGCGCTTGCTGCGGCGCCTGCCGCCCCTACTGGCCGTGCTATGGCCCTCCCTGCTGCTTCAGCTGCAGCCTCACCTTCTGCCTTTGAGGCCTCTGCAGTCCCCTCTCCCACTCCAGCCCTTGCCGCACCTTCTCTTGCTACAGCCGGGGCGGCACTCTCCCTCGCACCAATCCCCGTTACCCCCTTCCCCGCTGCAGCCCCCGTAGCACCTCCCCCTGTACCAGCCCCCACTGTGGCCCCTGTCGCTCCTGCTGCAGTCTGTGAAGCCTCACCTGCTGCAGTCTGTGAAGCCTCGCCTATCGGAATCTGCCCAACCTCGCCTGCCGCGGTCCCTGCAGCCTCACCTGCCGCAGTCCCTGCAGCCTCACCTGGTGCAGTCCCTGCGGCCTCACCTGCTGTAGTCTGTGCAGCCTCACCTGCTAGAATCTGCTCAACCTCACATGCTGCGGCCCCTGCAGCCTCACCTGCTGCGGCCCTTGCAATCTCACCTGCTGCGCTCCCTGCGGCCTCACCTGCCATGGTCCCTCCTGCAGCCTCACCCCCTGTGGTCCCTGCAGCCTCACCTGCTGCAGTCCCTGCAGCCTCACCTGCAGTCCCTGCGGCCTCACCTGCTGCAGTCCCTGCAGCCTCACCTGCTGCAGTCCCTGCAGCCTCACCTGCCGCAGTCCCTGCAGCCTCACCTGCCGCGGTCCCTGCAGCCTCACCTGCTGCAGTCCCTGTGGCCTCACCTGCTGCAGACCTTGCGGCCTCACCTGCTGTAGTCTGTGCAGCCTCACCTGCTAGAATCTGCTCAGCCTCACCTGCTGCGGCCCCTGCAGCCTCACCTGCTGCGGCCCCTGCAGCCTCACCTGCTGCGGTCCTTGCGGCCTCACCTGCCATGGTCCCTCCTGCAGCCTCACCCGCTGTGGTCCCTGCAGCCTCACCTGCTGCGGTCTGTGCGGCCTCACCTGATGCGGTCCCTATAGCCTCCCCTGCTGCGGTTCCCCCAGCCGAATCAGCAGCGGGTCCTGTGGGCCCTTCTTCTGCAAAACCTGTCTCCATGGCCTCTGCCCTTTGCCTGGCCAAAGTCACGCCCCCTGCCGCCCCTTCCTGTGCAGCCTCTGCTGCCCCTTCCATTGCAGCCTCTGCTGCCCTTTCCTCTGCAGCCTCTGCTGCCCTTTCCTCTGCAGCCTCTGCTGCCCCTTCCCCCACAATCTCCCTTGCCCCTTCCCGTGCAGCCTTTGCTGCCCCGTCCTCTGCAGCCTCTGCTGCTCCTTCCACTACAGACTCACTTACTCCTTCCCGTGTAGTGTCTGCTGCAGGTTCCCCCCCGGCCCTGCCCTCTCCCACTTCTATGTGCTTGGGGGTGCGGGTAGGATTATGTGGTTTCACAAGTATTTGGTTTGACAATGGGAGGTAGTGAGTGAGTTGGAGGATCTCTCCACTGAGCATGTACGGGTGCTGCCCCCGCTGTCACCTGGAGGGGGGGTAGGCTGGGATGGGGCAGCGGGGTTAGGGCGCGGTTTTGAGCGTGCTGGCTCCTCCTCGTGTATTTCCTCCAGTGGGGCTTGGCGTTCCTCTGTTCCATCCTCTTCAAGGGTACGCTTCTGGCCCCTAGGGTCAGATTGTGTGAGTGTTTTCGCTTGGTCGGGTGTGTGTTGTTTCTTCCTGACTGTTGAAGTGGGGGGGGTGGATGTGTAGGGGGTGGCTCGGCTGCGGGACCTCCCAGATCGCCGAGGGGCTCCCGGGTCTGCCTTTCCCCCACTCGCGGGGTGCTGGGGCATTGTTACAGAGGCAGCATGCCTGGCGGTGGCGGTGTGAGTTGCTGGAGTTGGCTCAAGAGGGCGTCAAAGGGGGAAGAAACTCCCTGGCAGAGGCCGGGGTGCGGGGGGTTAGCTTGGGAAAAAGGGAAAAGGGTGGGGAAAGCGGTGCGCAGTGGGTGGAAGAGAGGGTAGAGGGGGCCTGACAGTTGGAGGGGATGGGGGCCCAAGGGGGGGGCGGGCTGGGGGCCGGTTGAGAGGGGAAGTGTTGGCGGGCTGTAGTGGAGGTGGGGGAGCGGGGGCGATGTAGCGGTGGGTGAGCAGGGTGTGGGGAAAGGTGGTGGGCCAGAGGTGGGAGGGCGGGACAGAATTCAACGGGAGGTGGGGGTGGGCAGGTGGAGCAAAGTGGGGGAGGAAGGGTGGGGAACAGAGAGGAAGGGGCAAAGGGTAGTGGGTAGTCGAGTTGGCGTGAGCCTGGTAGCGGGTAAAGAGAAGGTTGGGGGCCGGGGGGTGAGAACGTGGGAGAGCAGAGAGGGCACCGAAAGGAGGCGCTGTGGTAAATGCAAAATAGAATGCGGGGCCGGGAAACAGGGGACAGAGGGAATTGGGGAATCGATGAAGGGTGATAATAGCGGATGGGCGAGCCCCAGGGGGGAGGAAATATGGCTGCTGGAGAAGGGGGAGACTGGGGGGGGTTGGGGTAGGGTGTTGGAAGGCACAAGGGGCAGGAACAGGGGGTGCAGAGGTTGGCTGGGGGAGGGAGAGGCGGTCTGGTGCCGAGGTGAGGCGGAGGGAGGTTGGGGACGGCACAGCGCAGGGAGCAGAGGCAAGGGGCGTAGACCTTGGCTAGGGGTAGGAAGGGCGGTGTGGTGCCAGGGAAAGGTAGAGGGAGGCTGGGGTAGGTGGCTGGAGTGCACAGGGGGCAGGGGCAGGGGGTGTAGAGATTGGATGGGGGTGGGAAGGGCGGTGTGGTGCCAGGTGGCGGCAGGTGGGTCACCGAAGGGCCTGGCAGGGCGGGATGCAGAGGTGCAGCCCACGCAGGATATGGGCGCACCTGGGGGGGAAAGGGGGGCTGGAGGGGGAAGTACGGCTCGTAGAGGTGTGGGGGGCAAAATGGAAGTGGGGACTGCGGGAGGGGGGGTGGAGGAGGTATGGTGTGGGCAGGGAAGTGGGGGAACATGAGGGTGGTGATAGGGAGAAGCTGGGAGGGGAGGGGGGAGGTGGGACAGAGCGGGACCAAGGGTGGCAGGAGACCGTGCACGGAGGTACTGAGGGCCGGGAGACGGGGGCTGGGGGGAGAAAAGTCTGCTGGGGGCCCTGATGGGAAATGGGGGAAAAAGGGGGGGGTAACGGTGGGTGACAGAAAGGGGAGTGTGTGGTGCAGTGTGTTGGAACAGAGAGGAGGACGGACTGGGTGCGGTCCTGGGGGGAAAGGGGAGAGAAATTGTAAGCTGGATCTCTGGTTTTGTTTTATTTATTCCGGTTTTTTATGTTTTTTCTTTCTTTTCTTTTCTAGGGGAAAGAGAGAGAGAGAGAGAGAGAGAGAGAGAGAGAGAGAGAGGGAAAGGGAGGGGGGGAGAGAAGGGTGGGAGGGGGGCTGGTGGTGCGGATGGGCTGATGGTGGCAAGAGGGCAGCAGGGATGGGGAGAAGGGAGCGTAACGAGGGGAAAGCAAAGGGCAGGGGGGGAGGAGGGGAGGGGCAGGGAGGGAAGAGGCTGAACGTACAAAGGGGGGAAACGAGGGGCATGGATGGTAGGAAACAAGGGCAGGGGTGCAGGAAATCAAGGGCAGGGAGGGGAGAAGCAATGGGTGAGGGGAAAACAAGGGAGGGGCAGAGGGGGGGCAGGGAGGGAAGAAACGTGGGGCAGGGAGGGGAGAAGCCAAAGACAGGGGCATGGGCAGGCGGGGGCAGGGAGGGAGCAAAGGAGAGGCACGGGAGAAAGAAAGGGAGGCGCGGGGAGGGGAGAAAACCGGGCGTGGGGGGGCGGAAAATGAGGGGCAGGGCGGGAGGAGGGAGGGGCAGGGAGGGGAGAAGCTGAGCACACGGAGGGGGGAAAGGTGGGGGCAGGGAGGTAGGAAGCCAAGGGCAAGGGGGGGAGAGTGGGGGGGCAGGGAGAGGGGGGAGGTGGGGAGCGGAGAAAGGCGGCGAGGGGCAGGGAGGGGAGAAACCAAGCATAGGGGGGCGAGATACGAGGGGCAGGGTGCGGATTGAGGAGGGGCAGGGAGTGGAGTGGGTCGGCGAGGGAAGGAAGAGGCGTGCAGCAGAGGAGGGAGGGGGGAGGAGAAGGTAAACGAGGGGAGCGCACGGGCGGGGAGGAGCGAATGGCGGGCGGTGGGAAACGGCGAGGGGGGCAGGGAGGGTCAAAAGAGGCGGCAAGGGAGCGGGCACGCGGAGGGTGGGGGCGGGGGGAGCGGATGGCATGAGGGGGCAGGGGGTGTGACTATGAAGGGGGGACCCGGGCAAGGGGTGTGTACCGGTCGGGGCACGGGATTGACGTGGTACGATCATACCTCGGCTACTACGCCGGATCCCATCAGAGCTCCGAAGCTAAGCGCCGGTGGGCGAGAGCAGTACTGGGCTGGGTGACCTCCCGGGAAGTCCTCGTGTTGTACCCATTTATGCCCCTTGCTCGGCACGTGCCGGGGGAAGGGCAAGCGGGAAAAAGAAAGGACGATTTTAGCGCGTCCGATTTTTTTATTTATTTTCGTTTTTTTGCCCAAACAACGACTCAGCGGGGTGGGGGCCCCCCGGGGAGGCTTGCCCGTGCGAAGAAACGCCCCGTGCGCACCACCGTTGGGCGGTTGGAAGCCGCACACGGTCGCGGGGGTGGAGAGCGGAAACGGGCAGCCGGGGGAGGGTGGGGGCGGTTGGATGGGACTGGGGTGTACGGGGGGCAGGGGAGTTGAGGGGGCAAGGGGAGGGGCAGCAACGGGCAGGGGCTGGGCCAGCTGAGGGCACGGAAAAGGGGCGGGCAGAGGGTGAGCAGAGGGGCGAGCGATGCAAGGGAGGCACCATAGGGGGGAAACCAGTTGCACGGAGGTGGGAGGTGAGGGGCGTGCGAGGGGGTGGGAAAGGGGCAGGGAGGGGCGGAATGGGAGGACGTGGGTGGGGGGTGGGGGAGGGGAGTGTGCGTGTGTGTGTGAGAAAGAGAGAGAGAGAGAGAGAGAGATAGGGAAAGGGAGGGGGGGGAGAGAAGGGTGGGAGGGGGGCTGGTGGTGCGGATGGGCTGATGGTGGCAAGAGGGCAGCAGGGATGGGGAGAAGGGAGCGTAACGAGGGGAACGCAAAGGGCAGGGGGGGAGGAGGGGAGGGGCAGGGAGGGAAGAGGCTGAACGTACAAAGGGGGGAAACGAGGGGCATGGATGGTAGGAAACAAGGGCAGGGGTGCGGGAAATCAAGGGCAGGGAGGGGAGAAGCAATGGGTGAGGGGAAAACAAGGGAGGGCCAGAGCGGGGGCAGGGAGGAGAAGAAACGTGGGGCAGGGAGGGGAGAAGCCAAAGACAGGGGCATGGGCAGGCGGGGGCAGGGAGGGAGCAAAGGAGAGGCACGGAGAAAGAAAGGGAGGCGCGGGGAGGGGAGAAACCGGGCGTGGGGGGGCGGAAAATGAGGGGCAGGGCGGGGAGGAGGGAGGGGCAGGGAGGGGAGAAGCTGAGCACACGGAGGGGGGAAAGGTGGGGCAGGGAGGTAGGAAGCCAAGGGCAAGGGGGGGAGAGTGGGGGGGCAGGGAGAGGGGGGAGGTGGGGAGCGGAGAAAGGCGGCGAGGGGCAGGGAGGGGAGAAACCAAGCATAGGGGGGCGAGATACGAGGGGCAGGGTGCGGATTGAGGAGGGGCAGGGAGTGGAGTGGGTCGGCGAGGGGAAGGAAGAGGCGTGCAGCAGAGGAGGGGAGGGGGGAGGAGAAGGTAAACGAGGGGAGCGCACGGGCGGGGAGGAGCGAATGGCGGGCGGTGGGAAACGGCGAGGGGGGCAGGGAGGGTCAAAAGAGGCGGCAAGGGAGCAGGCACGCGGAGGGTGGGGGCGGGGGGAGCGGATGGCATGAGGGGGCAGGGGGTGTGACTATGAAGGGGGGACCCGGGCAAGGGGTGTGTACCGGTCGGGGCACGGGATTGACGTGGTACGATCATACCTCGGCTACTACGCCGGATCCCATCAGAGCTCCGAAGCTAAGCGCCGGTGGGCGAGAGCAGTACTGGGCTGGGTGACCTCCCGGGAAGTCCTCGTGTTGTACCCATTTATGCCCCTTGCTCGGCACGTGCCGGGGGAGGGGCAAGCGGGAAAAAAGAAAGGACGATTTTAGCGCGTCCGATTTTTTTATTTTCGTTTTTTTGCCCAAACAACGACTCAGCGGGGTGGGGGCCCCCCGGGGAGGCTTGCCCGTGCGAAGAAACGCCCCGTGCGCACCACCGTTGGGCGGTTGGAAGCCGCACTACGGTCGCGGGGGTGGAGAGCGGAAACGGGCAGCCGGGGGAGGGTGGGGGCGGTTGGATGGGACTGGGGTGTACGGGGGGCAGGGGAGTTGAGGGGGCAAGGGGAGGGGCAGCAACGGGCAGGGGCTGGGCCAGCTGAGGGCACGGAAAAGGGGCGGGCAGAGGGTGAGCAGAGGGGCGAGCGATGCAAGGGAGGCACCATAGGGGGGAAACCAGTTGCACGGAGGTGGGAGGTGAGGGGCGTGCGAGGGGGTGGGAAAGGGGCAGGGAGGGGCGGAATGGGAGGGACGTGGGTGGGGGGTTGGGGAGGGGAGTGTGCGTGTGTGTGTGAGAAAGAGAGAGAGAGAGAGAGAGAGAGAGAGAGAGAGAGAGAGGGAAAGGGAGGGGGGGAGAGAAGGGTGGGAGGGGGGCTGGTGGTGCGGATGGGCTGATGGTGGCAAGAGGGCAGCAGGGATGGGGAGAAGGGAGCGTAACGAGGGGAACGCAAAGGGCAGGGGGGGAGGAGGGGAGGGGCAGGGAGGGAAGAGGCTGAACGTACAAAGGGGGGAAACGAGGGGCATGGATGGTAGGAAACAAGGGCAGGGGTGCGGGAAATCAAGGGCAGGGAGGGGAGAAGCAATGGGTGAGGGGAAAACAAGGGAGGGGCAGAGGGGGGGCAGGGAGGGAAGAAACGTGGGGCAGGGAGGGGAGAAGCCAAAGACAGGGGCATGGGCAGGCGGGGGCAGGGAGGGAGCAAAGGAGAGGCACGGAGAAGGAAAGGGAGGCGCGGGGAGGGGAGAAACCGGGCGTGGGGGGGCGGAAAATGAGGGGCAGGGCGGGGAGGAGGGAGGGGCAGGGAGGGGAGAAGCTGAGCACACGGAGGGGGGAAAGGTGGGGCAGGGAGGTAGGAAGCCAAGGGCAAGGGGGGGGAGAGTGGGGGGGCAGGGAGAGGGGGGAGGTGGGGAGCGGAGAAAGGCGGCGAGGGGCAGGGAGGGGAGAAACCAAGCATAGGGGGGCGAGATACGAGGGGCAGGGTGCGGATTGAGGAGGGGCAGGGAGTGGAGTGGGTCGGCGAGGGGAAGGAAGAGGCGTGCAGCAGAGGAGGGGAGGGGGGAGGAGAAGGTAAACGAGGGGAGCGCACGGGCGGGGAGGAGCGAATGGCGGGCGGTGGGAAACGGCGAGGGGGGCAGGGAGGGTCAAAAGAGGCGGCAAGGGAGCAGGCACGCGGAGGGTGGGGGCGGGGGGAGCGGATGGCATGAGGGGGCAGGGGGTGTGACTATGAAGGGGGGACCCGGGCAAGGGGTGTGTACCGGTCGGGGCACGGGATTGACGTGGTACGATCATACCTCGGCTACTACGCCGGATCCCATCAGAGCTCCGAAGCTAAGCGCCGGTGGGCGAGAGCAGTACTGGGCTGGGTGACCTCCCGGGAAGTCCTCGTGTTGTACCCATTTATGCCCCTTGCTCGGCACATGCCGGGGGAGGGGCAAGCGGGAAAAAGAAAGGACGATTTTAGCGCGTCCGATTTTTTTATTTTCGTTTTTTTGCCCAAACAACGACTCAGCGGGGTGGGGGCCCCCCGGGGAGGCTTGCCCGTGCGAAGAAACGCCCCGTGCGCACCACCGTTGGGCGGTTGGAAGCCGCACACGGTCGCGGGGGTGGAGAGCGGAAACGGGCAGCCGGGGGAGGGTGGGGGCGGTTGGATGGGACTGGGGTGTACGGGGGGCAGGGGAGTTGAGGGGGCAAGGGGAGGGGCAGCAACGGGCAGGGGCTGGGCCAGCTGAGGGCACGGAAAAGGGGCGGGCAGAGGGTGAGCAGAGGGGCGAGCGATGCAAGGGAGGCACCATAGGGGGGAAACCAGTTGCACGGAGGTGGGAGGTGAGGGGCGTGCGAGGGGGTGGGAAAGGGGCAGGGAGGGGCAGAATGGGAGGACGTGGGTGGGGGGTGGGGGAGGGGAGTGTGCGTGTGTGTGTGAGAAAGAGAGAGAGAGAGAGAGAGAGAGAGAGGGAAAGGGAGGGGGGGAGAGAAGGGTGGGAGGGGGGCTGGTGGTGCGGATGGGCTGATGGTGGCAAGAGGGCAGCAGGGATGGGGAGAAGGTAGCGTAACGAGGGGAACGCAAAGGGCAGGGGGGGAGGAGGGGAGGGGCAGGGAGGGAAGAGGCTGAACGTACAAAGGGGGGAAACGAGGGGCATGGATGGTAGGAAACAAGGGCAGGGGTGCGGGAAATCAAGGGCAGGGAGGGGAGAAGCAATGGGTGAGGGGAAAACAAGGGAGGGGCAGAGGGGGGGCAGGGAGAGAAGAAACGTGGGGCAGGGAGGGGAGAAGCCAAAGACAGGGGCATGGGCAGGCGGGGGCAGGGAGGGAGCAAAGGAGAGGCACGGAGAAAGAAAGGGAGGCACGGGGAGGGTAGAAACCGGGCGTGGGGGGGCGGAAAATGAGGGGCAGGGCGGGGAGGAGGGAGGGGCAGGGAGGGGAGAAGCTGAGCACACGGAGGGGGGAAAGGTGGGGCAGGGAGGTAGGAAGCCAAGGGCAAGGGGGGGAGAGTGGGGGGGCAGGGAGAGGGGGGAGGTGGGGAGCGGAGAAAGGCGGCGAGGGGCAGGGAGGGGAGAAACCAAGCATAGGGGGGCGAGATACGAGGGGCAGGGTGTGGATTGAGGAGGGGCAGGGAGTGGAGTGGGTCGGCGAGGGGAAGGAAGAGGCGTGCAGCAGAGGAGGGGAGGGGGGGAGGAGAAGGTAAACGAGGGGAGCGCACGGGCGGGGAGGAGCGAATGGCGGGCGGTGGGAAACGGCGAGGGGGGGCAGGGAGGGTCAAAAGAGGCGGCAAGGGAGCGGGCACGCGGAGGGTGGGGGCGGGGGGAGTGGATGGCATGAGGGGGCAGGGGGTGTGACTATGAAGGGGGGACCCGGGCAAGGGGTGTGTACCGGTCGGGGCACGGGATTGACGTGGTACGATCATACCTCGGCGACTACGCCGGATCCCATCAGAGCTCCGAAGCTAAGCGCCGGTGGGCGAGAGCAGTACTGGGCTGGGTGACCTCCCGGGAAGTCCTCGTGTTGTACCCATTTATGCCCCTTGCTCGACACGTGCCGGGGGAGGGGCAAGCGGGAAAAAGAAAGGACGATTTTAGCGCGTCCGATTTTTTTTATTTTCGTTTTTTTGCCCAAACAACGACTCAGCGGGGTGGGGGCCCCCCGGGGAGGCTTGCCCGTGCGAAGAAACGCCCCGTGCGCACCACCGTTGGGCGGTTGGAAGCCGCACACGGTCGCGGGGGTGGAGAGCGGAAACGGGCAGCCGGGGGAGGGTGGGGGCGGTTGGATGGGACTGGGGTGTACGGGGGGCAGGGGAGTTGAGGGGGCAAGGGGAGGGGCAGCAACGGGCAGGGGCTGGGCCAGCTGAGGGCACGGAAAAGGGGCGGGCAGAGGGTGAGCAGAGGGGCGAGCGATGCAAGGGAGGCACCATAGGGGGGAAACCAGTTGCACGGAGGTGGGAGGTGAGGGGCGTGCGAGGGGGTGGGAAAGGGGCAGGGAGGGGCGGAATGGGAGGACGTGGGTGGGGGGGTTGGGGAGGGGAGTGTGCGTGTGTGTGTGAGAAAGAGAGAGAGAGAGAGAGAGAGAGAGAGAGAGGGAAAGGGAGGGGGGGAGAGAAGGGTGGGAGGGGGGCTGGTGGTGCGGATGGGCTGATGGTGGCAAGAGGGCAGCAGGGATGGGGAGAAGGGAGCGTAACGAGGGGAACGCAAAGGGCAGGGGGGGAGGAGGGGAGGGGCAGGGAGGGAAGAGGCTGAACGTACAAAGGGGGGAAACGAGGGGCATGGATGGTAGGAAACAAGGGCAGGGGTGCGGGAAATCAAGGGCAGGGAGGGGAGAAGCAATGGGTGAGGGGAAAACAAGGGAGGGGCAGAGGGGGGGCAGGGAGGGAAGAAACGTGGGGCAGGGAGGGGAGAAGCCAAAGACAGGGGCATGGGCAGGCGGGGGCAGGGAGGGAGCAAAGGAGAGGCGCGGAGAAAGAAAGGGAGGCGCGGGGAGGGGAGAAACCGGGCGGGGGGGGGCGGAAAATGAGGGGCAGGGCGGGGAGGAGGGAGGGGCAGGGAGGGGAGAAGCTGAGCACACGGAGGGGGGAAAGGTGGGGCAGGGAGGTAGGAAGCCAAGGGCAAGGGGGGGAGAGTGGGGGGGCAGGGAGAGGGGGGAGGTGGGGAGCGGAGAAAGGCGGCGAGGGGCAGGGAGGGGAGAAACCAAGCATAGGGGGGCGAGATACGAGGGGCAGGGTGCGGATTGAGGAGGGGCAGGGAGTGGAGTGGGTCGGCGAGGGGAAGGAAGAGGCGTGCAGCAGAGGAGGGGAGGGGGGAGGAGAAGGTAAACGAGGGGAGCGCACGGGCGGGGAGGAGCGAATGGCGGGCGGTGGGAAACGGCGAGGGGGGCAGGGAGGGTCAAAAGAGGCGGCAAGGGAGCGGGCACGCGGAGGGTGGGGGCGGGGGGGAGTGGATGGCATGAGGGGGCAGGGGGTGTGACTATGAAGGGGGGACCCGGGCAAGGGGTGTGTACCGGTCGGGGCACGGGATTGACGTGGTACGATCATACCTCGGCGACTACGCCGGATCCCATCAGAGCTCCGAAGCTAAGCGCCGGTGGGCGAGAGCAGTACTGGGCTGGGTGACCTCCCGGGAAGTCCTCGTGTTGTACCCATTTATGCCCCTTGCTCGACACGTGCCGGGGGAGGGGCAAGCGGGAAAAAGAAAGGACGATTTTAGCGCGTCCGATTTTTTTTTATTTTTCGTTTTTTTGCCCAAACAACGACTCAGCGGGGTGGGGGCCCCCCGGGGAGGCTTGCCCGTGCGAAGAAACGCCCCGTGCGCACCACCGTTGGGCGGTTGGAAGCCGCACACGGTCGCGGGGGTGGAGAGCGGAAACGGGCAGCCGGGGGAGGGTGGGGGCGGTTGGATGGGACTGGGGTGTACGGGGGGCAGGGGAGTTGAGGGGGCAAGGGGAGGGGCAGCAACGGGCAGGGGCTGGGCCAGCTGAGGGCACGGAAAAGGGGCGGGCAGAGGGTGAGCAGAGGGGCGAGCGATGCAAGGGAGGCACCATAGGGGGGAAACCAGTTGCACGGAGGTGGGAGGTGAGGGGCGTGCGAGGGGGTGGGAAAGGGGCAGGGAGGGGCAGAATGGGAGGACGTGGGTGGGGGGTGGGGGAGGGGAGTGTGCGTGTGTGTGTGAGAAAGAGAGAGAGAGAGAGAGAGAGAGAGGGAAAGGGAGGGGGGGAGAGAAGGGTGGGAGGGGGGCTGGTGGTGCGCATGGGCTGATGGTGGCAAGAGGGCAGCAGGGATGGGGAGAAGGGAGCGTAGCGAGGGGAACGCAAAGGGCAGGGGGGGAGGAGGGGAGGGGCAGGGAGGGAAGAGGCTGAACGTACAAAGGGGGGAAACGAGGGGCATGGATGGTAGGAAACAAGGGCAGGGGTGCGGGAAATCAAGGGCAGGGAGGGGAGAAGCAATGGGTGAGGGGAAAACAAGGGAGGGGCAGAGGGGGGGCAGGGAGGGAAGAAACGTGGGGCAGGGAGGGGAGAAGCCAAAGACAGGGGCATGGGCAGGCAGGGGCAGGGAGGGAGCAAAGGAGAGGCACGGAGAAAGAAAGGGAGGCGCGGGGAGGGGAGAAACCGGGCGTGGGGGGGCGGAAAATGAGGGCAGGGCGGGGAGGAGGGAGGGGCAGGGAGGGGAGAAGCTGAGCACACGGAGGGGGGAAAGGTGGGGCAGGGAGGTAGGAAGCCAAGGGCAAGGGGGGAGAGTGGGGGAGCAGGGAGAGGGGGGAGGTGGGGAGCGGAGAAAGGCGGCGAGGGGCAGGGAGGGGAGAAACCAAGCATAGGGGGGCGAGATACGAGGGGCAGGGTGCGGATTGAGGAGGGGCAGGGAGTGGAGTGGGTCGGCGAGGGGAAGGAAGAGGCGTGCAGCAGAGGAGGGGAGGGGGGAGGAGAAGGTAAACGAGGGGAGCGCACGGGCGGGGAGGAGCGAATGGCGGGCGGTGGGAAACGGCGAGGGGGGCAGGGAGGGTCAAAAGAGGCGGCAAGGGAGCGGGCACGCGGAGGGTGGGGGCGGGGGGGAGCGGATGGCATGAGGAGGCAGGGGGTGTGACTATGAAGGGGGGACCCGGGCAAGGGGTGTGTACCGGTCGGGGCACGGGATTGACGTGGTACGATCATACCTCGGCTACTACGCCGGATCCCATCAGAACTCCGAAGCTATGCGCCGGTGGGCGAGAGCAGTACTGGGCTGGGTGACCTCCCGGGAAGTCCTCGTGTTGTACCCATTTATGCCCCTTGCTCGGCACGTGCCGGGGGAGGGGCAAGCGGGAAAAAGAAAGGACGATTTTAGCGCGTCCGATTTTTTTTTTTTTTTTTTCGTTTTTTTGCCCAAACAACGACTCAGCGGGGTGGGGGCCCCCCGGGGAGGCTTGCCCGTGCGAAGAAACGCCCCGTGCGCACCACCGTTGGGCGGTTGGAAGCCGCACACGGTCGCGGGGGTGGAGAGCGGAAACGGGCAGCCGGGGGAGGGTGGGGGCGGTTGGATGGGACTGGGGTGTACGGGGGGCAGGGGAGTTGAGGGGGCAAGGGGAGGGGCAGCAACGGGCAGGGGCTGGGCCAGCTGAGGGCACGGAAAAGGGGCGGGCAGAGGGTGAGCAGAGGGGCGAGCGATGCAAGGGAGGCACCATAGGGGGGAAACCAGTTGCACGGAGGTGGGAGGTGAGGGGCGTGCGAGGGGGTGGGAAAGGGGCAGGGAGGGGCGGAATGGGAGGACGTGGGTGGGGGGTGGGGGAGGGGAGTGTGCGTGTGTGTGTGAGAAAGAGAGAGAGAGAGAGAGAGAGAGAGAGGGAAAGGGAGGGGGGGAGAGAAGGGTGGGAGGGGGGCTGGTGGTGCGGATGGGCTGATGGTGGCAAGAGGGCAGCAGGGATGGGGAGAAGGGAGCGTAGCGAGGGGAACGCAAAGGGCAGGGGGGGAGGAGGGGAGGGGCAGGGAGGGAAGAGGCTGAACGTACAAAGGGGGGAAACGAGGGGCATGGATGGTAGGAAACAAGGGCAGGGGTGCGGGAAATCAAGGGCAGGGAGGGGAGAAGCAATGGGTGAGGGGAAAACAAGGGAGGGGCAGAGGGGGGGGCAGGGAGGGAAGAAACGTGGGGCAGGGAGGGGAGAAGCCAAAGACAGGGGCATGGGCAGGCGGGGGCAGGGAGGGAGCAAAGGAGAGGCACGGAGAAAGAAAGGGAGGCGCGGGGAGGGGAGAAACCGGGCGTGGGGGGGCGGAAAATGAGGGGCAGGGCGGGGAGGAGGGAGGGGCAGGGAGGGGAGAAGCTGAGCACACGGAGGGGGGAAAGGTGGGGCAGGGAGGTAGGAAGCCAAGGGCAAGGGGGGGAGAGTGGGGGAGCAGGGAGAGGGGGGAGGTGGGGAGCGGAGAAAGGCGGCGAGGGGCAGGGAGGGGAGAAACCAAGCATAGGGGGGCGAGATACGAGGGGCAGGGTGCGGATTGAGGAGGGGCAGGGAGTGGAGTGGGTCGGCGAGGGGAAGGAAGAGGCGTGCAGCAGAGGAGGGGAGGGGGGAGGAGAAGGTAAACGAGGGGAGCGCACGGGCGGGGAGGAGCGAATGGCGGGCGGTGGGAAACGGCGAGGGGGGCAGGGAGGGTCAAAAGAGGCGGCAAGGGAGCGGGCACGCGGAGGGTGGGGGCGGGGGGGAGCGGATGGCATGAGGAGGCAGGGGGTGTGACTATGAAGGGGGGACCCGGGCAAGGGGTGTGTACCGGTCGGGGCACGGGATTGACGTGGTACGATCATACCTCGGCTACTACGCCGGATCCCATCAGAAGCTCCGAAGCTAAGCGCCGGTGGGCGAGAGCAGTACTGGGCTGGGTGACCTCCCGGGAAGTCCTCGTGTTGTACCCATTTATGCCCCTTGCTCGGCACGTGCCGGGGGAGGGGCAAGCGGGAAAAAGAAAGGACGATTTTGCGCGTCCGATTTTTTTTTTTTTTTTTTCGTTTTTTTTGCCCAAACACCGACTCAGCGGGGTGGGGGCCCCCCGGGGAGGCTTGCCCGTGCGAAGAAACGCCCCGTGCGCACCACCGTTGGGCGGTTGGAAGCCGCACACGGTCGCGGGGGTGGAGAGCGGAAAGGGCAAGCCGGGGGAGGGTGGGGGCGGTTGGATGGGACTGGGGTGTACGGGGGGCAGGGGAGTTGAGGGGGCAAGGGGTAGGGGCAGCAACGGGCAGGGGCTGGGCCAGCTGAGGGCACGGAAAAGGGGCGGGCAGAGGGTGAGCAGCGGGGCGAGCGATGCAAGGGAGGCACCATAGGGGGGAAACCAGTTGCACGGAGGTGGGAGGTGAGGGGCGTGCGAGGGGGTGGGAAAGGGGCAGGGAGGGGCGGAATGGGAGGACGTGGGTGGGGGGGTGGGGGAGGGGAGTGTGCGTGTGTGTGTGAGAAAGAGAGAGAGAGAGAGAGAGAGAGAGAGAGAGAGGGAAAGGGAGGGGGGGAGAGAAGGGTGGGAGGGGGGCTGGTGGTGCGGATGGGCTGATGGTGGCAAGAGGGCAGCAGGGATGGGGAGAAGGGAGCGTAACGAGGGGAACGCAAAGGGCAGGGGGGGAGGAGGGGGAGGGGCAGGGAGGGAAGAGGCTGAACGTACAAAGGGGGGAAACGAGGGGCATGGATGGTAGGAAACAAGGGCAGGGGTGCGGGAAATCAAGGGCAGGGAGGGGAGAAGCAATGGGTGAGGGGAAAACAAGGGAGGGGCAGAGGGGGGGCAGGGAGGGAAGAAACGTGGGGCAGGGAGGGGAGAAGCCAAAGACAGGGGCATGGGGCAGGCGGGGGCAGGGAGGGAGCAAAGGAGAGGCACGGAGAAAGAAAGGGAGGCGCGGGGGAGGGGAGAAACCGGGCGTGGGGGGGCGGAAAATGAGGGGGCAGGGCGGGGAGGAGGGAGGGGCAGGGAGGGGAGAAGCTGAGCACACGGAGGGGGGGAAAGGTGGGGCAGGGAGGTAGGAAGCCAAGGGCAAGGGGGGGAGAGTGGGGGAGCAGGGAGAGGGGGGAGGTGGGGAGCGGAGAAAGGCGGCGAGGGGCAGGGAGGGGAGAAACCAAGCATAGGGGGGCGAGATACGAGGGGCAGGGTGCGGATTGAGGAGGGGCAGGGAGTGGAGTGGGTCGGCGAGGGGAAGGAAGAGGCGTGCAGCAGAGGAGGGGAGGGGGGAGGAGAAGGTAAACGAGGGGAGCGCACGGGCGGGGAGGAGCGAATGGCGGGCGGTGGGAAACGGCGAGGGGGGCAGGGAGGGTCAAAAGAGGCGGCAAGGGAGCGGGCACGCGGAGGGTGGGGGCGGGGGGGAGCGGATGGCATGAGGAGGCAGGGGGTGTGACTATGAAGGGGGGACCCGGGCAAGGGGTGTGTACCGGTCGGGGCACGGGATTGACGTGGTACGATCATACCTCGGCTACTACGCCGGATCCCATCAGAACTCCGAAGCTAAGCGCCGGTGGGCGAGAGCAGTACTGGGCTGGGGTGACCTCCGGGAAGTCCTCGTGTTGTACCCATTTATGCCCCTTGCTCGGCACGTGCCGGGGGAGGGGCAAGCGGGAAAAAGAAAGGACGATTTTAGCGCGTCCGATTTTTTTTTTTTTTTTTCGTTTTTTTGCCCAAACAACGACCTCAGCGGGGTGGGGGCCCCCCGGGGAGGCTTGCCCGTGCGAAGAAACGCCCCGTGCGCACCACCGTTGGGCGGTTGGAAGCCGCACACGGTCGCGGGGGTGGAGAGCGGAAACGGGCAGCCGGGGGAGGGTGGGGGCGGTTGGATGGGACTGGGGTGTACGGGGGGCAGGGGAGTTGAGGGGGCAAGGGGAGGGGCAGCAACGGGCAGGGGCTGGGCCAGCTGAGGGCACGGAAAAGGGGCGGGCAGAGGGTGAGCAGCGGGGCGAGCGATGCAAGGGAGGCACCATAGGGGGGAAACCAGTTGCACGGAGGTGGGAGGTGAGGGGCGTGCGAGGGGGTGGGAAAGGGGCAGGGAGGGGCGGAATGGGAGGACGTTGGGTGGGGGGTGGGGGAGGGGAGTGTGCGTGTGTGTGTGAGAAAGAGAGAGAGAGAGAGAGAGAGAGAGAGAGAGGGAAAGGGAGGGGGGGAGAGAAGGGTGGGAGGGGGGCTGGTGGTGCGGATGGGCTGATGGTGGCAAGAGGGCAGCAGGGATGGGGAGAAGGGAGCGTAACGAGGGGAACGCAAAGGGCAGGGGGGGGAGGAGGGGAGGGGCAGGGAGGGAAGAGGCTGAACGTACAAAGGGGGGGAAACGAGGGGCATGGATGGTAGGAAACAAGGGCAGGGGTGCGGGAAATCAAGGGCAGGGAGGGGAGAAGCAATGGGTGAGGGGAAAACAAGGGAGGGGCAGAGGGGGGGCAGGGAGGGAAGAAACGTGGGGCAGGGAGGGGAGAAGCCAAAGACAGGGGCATGGGCAGGCGGGGGCAGGGAGGGAGCAAAGGAGAGGCACGGAGAAGGAAAGGGAGGCGCGGGGAGGGGAGAAACCGGGCGTGGGGGGGCGGAAAATGAGGGGCAGGGCGGGGAGGAGGGAGGGGCAGGGAGGGGAGAAGCTGAGCACACGGAGGGGGAAAGGTGGGGCAGGGAGGTAGGAAGCCAAGGGCAAGGGGGGGAGAGTGGGGGGGCAGGGAGAGGGGGGAGGTGGGGAGCGGAGAAAGGCGGCGAGGGGCAGGGAGGGGAGAAACCAAGCATAGGGGGGCGAGATACGAGGGGCAGGGTGCGGATTGAGGAGGGGCAGGGAGTGGAGTGGGTCGGCGAGGGGAAGGAAAGGCGTGCAGTGAAGGCAGAGGAGGGAGAGGGGGAGGAGAAGGTAAACGAGGGGAGCGCACGGGCGGGAGGAGCGAATGGCGGGCGGTGGGAAACGGCGAGGGGGGCAGGAGGGTCAAAAGAGGCGGCAAGGGAGCGGGCACGCGGAGGGTGGGGCCGGGGGGAGCGGATGGCATGAGGGGCAGGGGGTGTGACTATGAAGGGGGGACCCGGGCAAGGGGTGTGTACCGGTCGGGGCACGGGATTGACGTGGTACGATCATCCTCGGCTACTACGCCGGATTCCCATCAGAGCTCCGAAGCTAAGCGCCGGTGGGCGAGAGCAGTACTGGGCTGGGTGACTCCCGGGAAGTCCTCGTGTTGTACCCATTTATGCCCCTTGCTCGGCACGTGCCGGGGGAGGGGGCAAGGGGAAAAAGAAAGGACGATTTTAGCGCGTCCGATTTTTTTATTTTCGTTTTTTTGCCCAAACAACGACTCAGCGGGTGGGGGCCCCCCGGGGGAGGCTTGCCCGTGCGAAGAAACGACCCGTGCGCACCACCGTTGGGCGGTTGGAAGCCGCACACGGTCGCGGGGGTGGAGAGCGGAAACGGGCAGCCGGGGAGGGTGGGGGGGTTGGATGGGACTGGGGTGTACGGGGGGCAAGGGGAGTTGAGGGGGCAAGGGGAGGGGCAGCAACGGGGCAGGGGCTGGGCCAGCTGAGGGCACGAAAAGGGGCGGGCAAGAGGGTGAGCAGCGGGGCGAGCGATGCAAGGGAGGCACCATAGGGGGGAACCAGTTGCACGGATGGTGGGAGGTGAGGGGCGTGCGAGGGGGTGGGAAAGGGGCAGGAGGGGCAAATGGGAGGACGTGGGTGGGGGGTTGGGGGAGGGGAGTGTGCGTGTGTGTGTGAGAAAGAGAGAGAGAGAGAGAGAGAGAGAGAGGGAAAGGGGAGGGGGGAGAGAAGGGTGGGAGGGGGGCTGGTGGTGCGGATGGGCT